GGAACAGCAATTTCAATTAAATATATCATATAGCAAACAAACACAGTGATATTTAAGAAGTGAAATGAAGTTCATAGGATTTACAGAAAGTGTGCAATAATTACCTAAACAAAAGTAGGCAGGTGCATAAATTTGGGCACCCTAACAGAAAAATTACATCAATATTTAGTAGATCCTCCTCTTGCAGAAATAACAGCCTCTAAACGCTTCCTATAGCTTCCAATGAGGGTCTGGATTCTGGTTGAAGGTATTTTTGACCATTCTTCTTTACAAAACATCTCCAGTTCAGTCAAGTTTGAGGGTTTCTGAGCATGGACAGCCCGCTGTTAGATTTCAGTGGTTTTCACATTTGGTTGGGTCTGCAGCAGGAAGCTAAGACACCAAATGGCTTTCAGGAGCACACACTGCCCGAAAACTTCAAAGAGAATTTCCCCAAATTCTCTACACACCAACTTTCTAAAACACCTCTACTCCGTGGGAACAATGGGAGATCTTCACACCAACTTTCTAAAACACAGCAATTTGACTGGTGCTGTAATCCGGATCAAAATATAGCAAGAATCTTTCACCACAGACATTCAATGATGTTCAGGTCTGGGGACTGAGATGGCCATTCCAGAACGTTGTACTTGTTCCTCTGCATGAATGCTTTGCTAGAATTTGAGCAGTGTTTAGGATCGTTGTCTTGTTGAAGTATCCAGCCCTGGCGCAACTTCAACTTTGTCACTGATTCTTGAACATTGTTCGCAAGAATTTGCTGATACTGACTGGAATTCATGCGACCTTCAACTTTAACAAGATTGCCAGTACCTGCACTGGCCACACAGCCCCACAGCATGATGGAACCACCACCAAATTTAACTGTGGGTAGCAGGTGTTTGTCTTGGAATGCTGTGTACTTCTTCTGCCATGCATACCGCCCCTTGTTATGTCCAAATAACTGAATTTTAGTTTCATCAGTGTAGGTACTACAACAGTCCTTTCAAGGACTCGAACTCCCATAATTCCACTGCTTCCGGTAAATCCACATATGTCACGATCAGTAACCTCCGCAACCTTTAAATTGGGGGGCCAGCCCCAATATCGTTCTCTCTGTTCAGGACTTTCGCTCCGTAGGACCTCGATGAAAAGAGAAAACCTGCTCGTCTCAGAAGACTAAGAACCAATGCGCTTTTGTAGACACCATTGCCCACGGTGATAAATGCACTAGTAGCGTCTTTTTCTTAACTGAGTTAACCGGTAATTAGGTTATACAAGTAACGTAGCGCTGCGACCAAAGCAGTTATTGAAAAGTTAGAAGCGACAGGATTCCTTCTAACGGTATTCGTGTGAACCGGCACATCGACATTCAGAGACTTTTCCTCCTGAAACGGACTTTCGGAACCAAGAGGACTCTCTGGACACAGACGGACGTCCCCAGCTCTGGCAAGGACCCAAGAAGCACGGACTTTCCACTACCCTCTAAATACGAGCAGACGTTCACTACAGTAAGGCTGGCATTTGGGCACGTTAGTTAATCTGTAGTATTGTTAAGTGCTATTTAAACTTAGGGACAGTTTAAGTACGCATATTGAATTTTGTTGTCTGAAATATGTGCTGCTTTTATAGCTAGGCTGTTGCATGCACTTCTTTTCTAACCTCCTGACTCGGTGTTATACTCTTGTACACCGTCAGTATTTCAGTGTTAACTTGTAACGTTATCAGTATTGGGATCAGGAAAACTCCGACAAAGTCCTTTGTCTGGAGTAGACCACGCGGTACGCCTCCCTTCCCCCATATACTTTGATAACATCACAAGCACTGTTTCATTGTACCTGAGCGCATCTTGGTGCGCGTATACAACACCCATTCACACCTCCGTGAGCGCATACACGCCTCACGTGTTTCCTGTTGCCGTTCCTTCTACCTCGCAGTTCTTCTTCCACTGCGCAGTCGCGTATGTGAACACGCCTCAAGGGCTCAGTCGCTTGCTTGGTAGCTAAGAGGCAACATCTCTCTCTCTCGTACACGACCACTCGTGTACACACGCACATAAGTACACACACACACACACACACCTACACACACGCTTTGTTTTGTTATAATGATCATTGTTTATGAGTTCAATCACCGTCATTAACTTGACAGTGTTGTATAAATAAATTTGATTATTTTTGTAAACTGTGTTTGTCTGTGTTGTTACTTTATTCATTGAAGCCACCCAATTTGCCAAGAACTCTCAAAATCCTTCAGATATTTAATTGTTATTGGATACTATTGATTTTAGTATATTTGTAATACTTCAAGTAATACATTATTGCTATATTAGTAGGTTAAAATAATAATTAAAGATAACTTTAATGAGACTGGTTTGTTTATTAATTTGAGACTGGTTGATAACACCGAGTGCTCCTAAGCAGCACTCGACCCATTGCACCTACATCAGTCCACAGCACCTTATTCTAAAATGAAGCTGGCTTGTCCAAATGTGCTTTAGCATACCTCAAGTGACTCTTTTTGTGACATGGGCGCAGAAAAGGCTTCGTCCTTGTGCAAAGTGCGCTGAATAGTTGAACGATGCACAGTGACACCATCTGCAGCAAGATCATGTTGAAGGTCTTTGGAGCTGGTCTGTGGGTTGAGTTTGACTGTTCTCACCATCCTTTGCCTCTGCTTATCTGGGATTTTTCTTGGCCTACCACTACAGGCCTTAACTAGAACTGTGCCTATGGTCTTCCATTTCTTCACTATGTTCCTCACAGTGGAAACCGACAGCTGAAATCTCTGAACTAGCTTTTTGTATCCTTCCCCTAAACCATGATGTTGAACAATCTTTGGTTTTAGATCATTTGACCGTTGTTTTGAGGCTCCCATGTTGCCAGTCTTCAGAGAAGATGCAAAGGGGAGAACAACTTGCAACTGGCCACCTTAAATACCCTTTTTCATGACTGGCTTCACCTGTGTATGTAGGTCAAGGGTCAATGAGCTTACCAAACAAATGTTGTGTTCCAATAATTAGTGCTAAAGGTATTCAAAACAATAAAACAACAAGGGCGCCCAAATTTATGCACCTGCCTACTTTTGTTTAAGTAATTATTGCACACTTTCTGTAAATCCTATGAACTTCATTTTACTTCTTAAATATCACTGTGTTTGTTTGCTATGTGATATATTTAATTGAAATTGCTGTTCTGAACAACCAATGATACATAAAGGAAAATCTTGAAAATGATCAGGAGTGCCCAAACTTTTTCATAGCACTGTATATGGTATGTACATGTAAATGTATCTTTATATGCATATATATACACACCTTTTTCACATATAAGTATATTTGTTCATACTGTATATGTATACTGTGTATGTGTGAATATATATGACAATATATGTGCACATAGAAAGACAGAGATAGACAGGTAGATAAATAGATAGATGGATAGATAGATAGGGAGAGAGCAAGAGAAAAGCTGAATGTGCTTGACTCTGCTACCTTTTCCTGCAAATACTGTATAATATATCATGGCCATATGGTACTGTATATTATACTTCAAATTAAATGTACAGAGGTAATATTGGTGTAATATATTGGTGATTACCGTAGGCAGAACCCTGGTGGAACTGTCTTCACTTTCACTTGTTACATTGCACAATTAAATCTTTGTCTGACAGCTAAATCATACAGAGACAGAACTGACCCACAAGAAGGGAGAGAGAAACAAGGCATTAAAAGAGAGATAAAGAGTGTGAAATGTTAATCAGGCTCACTACAGTCCAGTAACAATCATGTTAGATAAAAATGATATTATGCTGTTTATATGACTGTGCTAAATTATAAATATTCTCTCTGTGGTTGTCACCAGTTCTCAGCATTTGAGTCTGCACCAAGTTGACAAGCAGCAGATTTGTACATCTGTAATCTTGCTAAAACCCAGCTGAACAACACAGCAGCCTCTGAATTACGACAGGAAATCTGACAGCAAGCAAGATTCACAGTAAGTTCACTGTAAGCACAGTTTCTGTCTCAGTGATTATAGAAGCTAACGAAAAAAGTGTGAGTTGAGTCATATATTAAAGATGGACATTTATGTCAACAAATACTCACATATTGCTCATTTGGGACTGATAATCCAACCAATGAATGAGCAGAGCTGGTAACAGTGATGAAGCTGTTTCAGTAAGAGCTACTCAAGAGTCTAATAACTGCAATTATAAGCTTACATTAACCCTCGGTGCTAAAGTGACTTATGAGCGAGTCACCTGTGTCAAAGCAAACATGGTGTTCTCAATACACACCAATGGTCTCCTCATTTAATCATCACGTCACCTCAGTCTGACAGTGTATAAATATAGTCAGTGTTAGCTTGTAACATTGTCGATAGTGACATCACCCAATTAATGAAACCTGCACAAGAACATGGTCATGGTGGACGTGGCTCATTAATCCTCTATACTGGATCTAAATTAAGAGAGATTAAATCGGATTGAAAACAAAACCATGTTAGTTATCTAATAAAACCAGAATGCTTAAAGGCTTTAAAGTAATGACCTGAAGCTTTCAAACATATGGAAAAACCTAAATGGAAAAGCGCTCCAAACTCACCTTTTTTAAAATGGCAATCTTTCAACAGACTAAATTGCATACTCTTAACTGGATTTAAATTTCTAATGCTACTACTGTACTGCATGTTCTCCTGGAAGTTTCAAAGTGCACACATGATTCCCTCTGCCAAGATACTATGTAGACCAAACAATTACCTCAACAAGGAAGCAAAACCCAACCTCATTTTAGTTCCTCTTTCCTTTGTTCCATTGTAAGGTAGTAGTTGTA